GCTGCCCGCAGAGATTTGCAAAGAAGTCCTTTCAGTACGACGGAATAGTATTGCTGCTTGGATTCGCTCGCGATCGAGAGGAAATCGTCGTGGAAAAAGGTCATGCATAAGCAGAATGCAGATCTCTGACTGACACGTGATGGCGCGGAAATTGTACCGCGAGAGATGAAATTAACTCGATTCCATTCAGGCCTGGTGACACGTTGATGGGGTAAAATATAATATATTTATGCATTATATTATGGAATGCTGGCGGCAGGTGCACAGATGCTGTTCAACAAAACGACGCCTGCGGGAAAATGCATCCGTTCGGAAAAATATTCATGCCACACGTGACGTGCGAATTGCTTTACTGACACTTCAATTCCATTCTCAATATCATACGTTGGCAGAAAAAGAATGGGAAATTGCTTATTATATTATAGTTGATCGTTTGGTCTACATGATATGATTAAAAAAATTAATCAGCTCTTTGCAAATGTATCAATGTATGTATTTTTAATCAGTTTTTAAATCTAAGGTTAGTTTTCAGAGTTCAATCAAAGTTTTGAGATACAGAACGTGTATAATTAAAGAGAGTGAAAAAATGTGCTTTGTCCCGGTTGAAAAATGGGTTTATACATATATATATAAAAAAAACTATAGGAGCAAGGAAAGTTCAAATAATCTACAAAACTTAGATATAAAAAAAAATAATAATAATACAAATTTTAGTAACTTTTTTGTATATCAATTTTTAATTAAAACTCTACTTTTCACAGAATAGTGAAGAAATCAAGAAATAAAAAAATAACGGTTTTTTTTGTTTTCGAAAAGTACATTTAATTCATATCTGTAGATTGTAAATTCTTTTTTGTCATTTTTATTTCATTAAGGACACTAAAAAGGTTTTTATTTCTCAATCACGAGCTGATTAGTTTGTATTGAAATTAATTAAAGTCTTCAAACGCTGGTCTCGGTGTACTTTTTCAATTAAATCGAATTTACTGATGCAAAAAATTAAACAGGTTTCCTGGTAAAGGCAATCTAATTAATTACCACATCAATCAATTAAGATTGGTTAATACTTTCCTGGAAAATCACCTGTACGATTTATCTTGATTTAATGGATTTCCCATTTACTTTCCATTACACACCTCAACCATTCGCTAAAATTCAATAATTGCTCTGAATGGCGTTCGGAAAATTAAGAGAGCGACCTCTACACCCATTGCGCACCAAAGCTGGCAAACACATATATATGCTTTTTGCGCATCGTTCCTATAATCCAGGCCATCGCTGCTTTTTTATTTCCATTCAATAACATTCGCTGCCCTTTTTATTTCCAATGCCATATAAAAGGGACAAAACCTAGATCCTGCCAGATTGGACGGCGAATCGTGTTAGGCTGGATGATCGCGTTTTACGGCATTTAAAATGGCTTACGCGCGAAAATTGTGTGTGTCGTATTAGAAGAATTTGTGCTGCAGAGGCACAAACGTGCGTCATTACAGAAGCTTTAAACCTGCTTTACGGCCAGAGCGGCTAGATTAATTCCTAAATCTTTTCTGCTTTTACGGCAGAAACTATGATCACCATAAAAAAAATGGTGATTTAAGATCTAATTTCAAATAATTAATTAATATTAAATTGGAGTTTTTATATCTGCTCTGCTAAAACATTTATATCGTCGAGGAATTTATTAATTTCTAAATCAATTACAGTAAAATTTGGAGGGTGAATTAAATATAAATTTTCTTACAAAGTATATCATGAATGATTGAATCGGCAGGGAACATCTTTTTATTTATTTTATCTAAATTATATTCATTTTTCTGAAATTATTAACATATAGACAAAAATAGAATAATTATATAAAATAAATAAACACACTGATTTAAAAAATTTAACAAAAATTTACATTTTCTTACATATATTATTAAATATAGTAAGTTAATTTTAACAAGCAACAGTAAAAAGATGTCCGTAAATTTTACTTGCTTTGTATGCTTTCTAAAATTATATAGTTTAGTAAAAAAAAGAAATGATGAAAAGAAAATAGTTATTAGTTTTTCAAGGAGGGTGTCAATATGTTTGTTTCCAATTTATTAAATGAAACCAAAGTGCATGTTTCACTCATTAATTTTAAGGTCCACAATATTTAAAATTTCTAAATTAACTAAAATTAGCCTTTTTATCACAATTTTGATTTATTCAGAGCAGCCAAAAGATGTCAAAGGACACGAAAATAAACCTGCCGGCGAGTATAGAGGAAGCAGCATTTTACATAAAGGCATTTTACACAAAAGCGAGCGTAATTCCGCAGCTCACAATGGGACGAAATTCGCCTTGACCTTCGTTGTCACACGCAGCAACGGGTCAGGCTGGTTGTATTTTCACAAAAGATTAGGCCCGGCCGCGCTCGTCCACTAATCCATTCGACGAGGTCGGTGGCTAAATATGCATGTCTAAAAGCCATTTATTATCTCTCGCGTCGCATGTCCCTCGTTCGGGCCCGACGAGCCTCCCAGCGACAATATCAGAAAACGGGCGAGGCTTCAGAATAATTTTGCTGTCGACCCGGCTCGTGTGTTGTATTATATTTTTTAATTAAAACTTGTCACAGCAGCCAGCACTGGCTGGCGATGCATTAATGCGAACATGCGATTTCCCTCTGCTCTGGTGTGTATAATCAATTCTCGCGAGTGCCAAGTGCGCAGATGCCGCCAACTATATATCTCCCGTTACTAATTAATTCAAACAGCAATCGCTCGCTTCACACCGAATTACAGTGATCTCCCTCACGTAAATACTCTCACAGGCTGAGGCAGTTGAGCGAGTTTGTTAGGGTGTGCGTTGCTTGTTTGCGTACGTCCGCGACGCGTGCTCTCGTTTGCAATTCTGCCTACCAAAAGCGCAAAAAGTTTATCTTTCCAAGTTTCAACTTCTCATTAATTACCCAAATGAAAATTTTAACCGTTTCGGCAGCACGGGTGAAGGTTTTCTGAGTGGGCCTTAATTGGCTCGTTATGCCTTGTTTTCGGTGAAAGCACATTTATTTTTTTTTATTTTTACGGCTGGAAACTCTGCTAAAAGGTGAGCAAAGTATACAAGATTGTTTGTCGATCAAAATTTTTGAATTAGTAAAAAAAGGAGTTATTTGAAAAGGTTTATAGACGGAATAAGTTGATTAAATAATTTTATAATAATTATCATCTTTTCTCTCAATTATATTAACTTGTATAATTTTGAATGTATAAATGATGTATCCCGTTATGGGCAGCAATTGCCTTTGTGATAGATCAATAAACACAATTTGCAACTAATAATTAGAGAGACACATAAAAAATTTAATTTCCTTTGCTCAAAATTTATAAAATATGTTAGTAAATATTTCAAATTTGACATATCGCATATATCAAATTAATATAATTATTTGAGAGAAAAAATTGTAGCAGATGACAACCAGCTATACAGAAAAAACTACAAGAAACAAAATAAATTTACCATTGACTTTCGTCTATTGATCCTGTAAAATGCAACATTTTTAGAAACATCACTTTTTTACGCAATTTAAAGTTACCAAAAAAATTTGCAACTATAATTATACATAAATTGTAACAAAAATTTGCAATTTTACTTATCTCAAACGTAAAAGCAATCAAATGAGTCACAGAACAAAAATTTTGAAAATTTGTATATCCTGTTTAGACGCTTCAAGTAAATAATTTTTTTTTAAACTTTATGTCAATTTATTTGAGATAACTTATCATGTCTTTAGATAATTCAATTTAATTATTTCAATTCAAACTTCAAACCCAAGAGATAAGAAATTCGTAAATTAATCCAGGAAAATAACTGCTTTAATTTTTCTTTTTAAGAATCACTGATAAATATAATTGGAAGAGACATACTCAGCACATTAAAGAGAGTGCTGACGAGGAAAAGTGCAGAGCAAACTCAAACTGGATTAAGAGATTTCACGTTGAATGATAAATTGGATCACGTGAACAGCAATGGCTGCTGCGACGCTGTTCAACTCACACGACTGCAACTGCATTCGTTCTGCATTCCGACGAAACATTGCGGTCGAAACATGTCCCCATTCGCTTTGCGGATTCATTGTGCAGCGGGGCAAGAAATATACTGAAATCGCATTGAACTTGGTATGCAACCCGCGCTTCCTACGTGCTCACCAGGCTGCGTTTATCTGCTGCAAAGCGTTTTGTGTGCGGAAAGAGGTAAAAATTCACACATCGCCGCTTTTCCCAGGAAAAAATCCAGGAACTATTGCAACAGTCGTATTTAAAATTAACCAACAAATCAAAAAGAAAAGTTTTACCGAGCAAGGATTCTGTGGAATGGCTAAAAAAAAACTTTATGTTTCAATTGAAACTTTCAATTAATGGATTTTTAGTAATAAAATAAATTTAAATTGTGTTAGAATCTGCTTTGAACTATTATTTGATAAAAAAAAATGAATATTGCGAGAAAAAGTTGATTTGGTTGTCATTATCCACCTTTATTTAAATAATAAAAAAAATGAAATTTTTAAACCAGTTTTTAGCATGTTTTACAATTTTCTTTGCCATATTTTTTTCCATTTTAATACTGATAATATTAAGAATAAATTTCACATTAAAAATAAGGGAATATAAAACCTTTTTATTTTAATATCAATGTCACTGCAAGAAATAGTAGAAAGACAAATCGGAGAGATGAGAAGCATAATCATTTCATTATTGTTAAATTTGATGCAAAATCAGACTGGAAAATTAATGAATTTCCTGGTTTTCATATAAATTAAGTCACTGTTTGTCAACAAATTACTTTTCCAACACCATCGAGAGCTATTCATCTTTGTGGAACCCATTTCGCTGAACTCGATGGAAAACAGCTCGCACATAAATTGAGTTTTCGACGGCGGCGGCAAACTTGATAATTGCACGAAGCCAAATTTCACATCTCACAAACACGACACAGGGAAAATAAACAGGCAATTTGTGTTTTGTGCTCAACAGGTAACAGCAGCAAGCGGGGCTACGGTCGATTACCGCACGAGGACCCCGATGACAATCACAACACACAAAAGGCGACCGCGTCACAGAACTCGAGCGCGGCCAACTCGACCGCCACGACTCCGTCCGAGGCGCCGCCGGTCAACCACCTGGCGCACGACCTCTTCGACTTTGAGCTCACTGACGAGTTCTCCGACGACTCCGAGTACGGTGAGTAGTTATTTGCCTTTGTTTCGGCGCGGCTACGATAGAGAACAAGTTGCGCGAACTCTCGCGGTTTGTTTGCTTTGCTCCCGAATAACAACAACCTGCGGGCAGAGAACGTGCCTACAGCCCTTCCATGAGTTCCTCAAATGGAGTGGCGGTGAAATGTTTGCCTTGCCGAAATCTCTGTTCACTCATACGCCATATCGCTAATTAACCAATCAGTGCTTGCTATTTTCTGTTTGAACTTTCAACAGAAGTTGCGAGTTTTAGAATGAATTAATTTTAAGCCGGTATCTTTATAATAACATGGAATTTGAACCATGTAATTAAAAATCGAAGCACACATTTCACAAATTTTGAATGAGTTTAAATTAAAATAATTAAATTCACTTTTAATAATATCTTTTTTGCAGGATCTTAATCTTTTGTATTGATCCTTTAAAAATGCGTGCCTGGATAAATTTCAGAAAAAAAATATCCAGGTTATTTTATTTAAATTTTTAAACTTTGGCCCAATCAAAAAGCATTTTTTGCATTTACGTGCCTGCGGCGTTTTCATAATTATAGCCTAAAAAGTCATTTTTTTTTTTTAAGAAAATAGAGATTTTCACTAATATAATTATAACTTTTACCCTCCTTTTCTTTTATTATCACAGTTTAATTGAACAAATTTTGCAACACTTTTACTTATTCCCGTCTCTACCTTATAAAAAGTTTTAATTAGAGAAACTTTTGCAACGTTAATTATTATTAAATTATTTTTCCCAAATGTTTCTTATGTATACGTTGCTTACAAATTGAAGCATAATTTTAATTCAATGTTCATAGTTTATTGTCCCGGTTTGTCTGACTAACTTTGACGTTTTTATTGAAATAACTACAGACGTTTCAAATCAAGTTATGTTCCCTCGGTTAAGCAATTTTATTGTTGCAAAGGAGAACGAGGCATATTGAGTTTGGTACACGAAGGCTTCCCTTCTATGAGGCCGCCGTGTTTTATCGACTCGCGTGCAGTTGTGCAACAAAGTTGTTGGTTGGTGTGTTGTGCCCGCCGTTGTACCGTGCCATGCAACTGACAGGCGACAAAGTGCGGCGGAAAACAAGGTGAAACAAACTTTCTTGTACGGCATCACTGCAATCAAAGCTGACGTCGAGTTAATTTGTGTTTAACTCACAACTCGTTTCTGCGTTTAAATGTGGAGAACTCCCGCAACGTCTGCTTAATTAAATTTCATTTCTCGGAGTCAAAACGCTCAACTTCTATTGTCATAACTAGACTGGTGAAATTTTGTTTAAATTTTTGAAATTCTATTTGCCAATGTCTCTTTCCAAATTTGTCCTTTTGGGATAAAGCAGAATTTTTGTAAATATTTTTTTATTATTCTGAGAATTTGTTATTTATTTTATAATTATGACTATTCCGTGGGTTTACCGCGGCGGCCGTGTCTCTTTTGATGTCGGGCGTTTTAGCAGACATCTGCTAGTTGTAAACCCTTTCTTCTCTTTTTTCCAATTTAAATTTTTGTATTGTCCAAGAAGAATAAATAATAATAATTCTGAGACTTTTTTTTATATCTTCAAACAGCTATTTTAATTTTTTATCATTGATTTATATTAATTTCTTTCTTAATTTTTAACAACAATATGCAACATTTTTTTATAATTCAAAGCAATTGTTTTAATTAGAAGATAAAAATTTAAATTTTTAATTTAGTCACTTTCAAAAATCAGTATAATTGTCACATAAATTTAGAACAACAGAATATAATTCTTGTCATAGAATTTAATCAAATGAATTGCAAAAGAAGACGCATTTTTTTTTAAAACGACTAAATTTATGACTTTTTTTAACTGAAATTTGAGCATAAAAATTTTCCATTTTCCAAAGTAAAAAAAGCAACCTTCGCCAGTCTAGAGGTGACTTGATGTGTCGCGCTGTTGGTGCGACTTAATTAAATAACGCGCCCACGTGTATGAAAAGAAAAGGTGATGCGTCGAAAATAAAACTGACGAAAAAAGCTGCTGTGTTACGCGACGTGTTTGCTAATTAATTAAACAACACGTCCGTGTAGGATGGTGTGGACGCACAAAAAGCTGCGAGCAACTTTTCACTCGCGCGTAATTTCGGCTCCCTCGCACACCACTCGGCCGCAAAACGGGCGCTCTTTTGTTGGTGCTCATTAGTGTGCGATGCACGTGAGGCAGAGCACAAGCTTTTTCCAAATGGCGGCCTAATGAGCAGTTGGTCACCTCACGCCTGCCACCACTTGGTATGGACGGATTAGTGCAGGGGTGGTTGCGTCCCAGCCAGGTGCACCAAAGGGCCTCGCCGACGCCATTTAATGAAGCCCGACGAGAGTCTTCGCCAAAATATGAAACCCTTATTTATCTCCATTTTCCTCTCTCTGCCGTGTGTTTATTTATTATTTCGATTTCTCATTCTGCTTTTCCTCCGTTTGTTTTATTTAAACTCGGCTTGGCCAATTGGAGCGGAACGATGTTTGCAGAGAGCGAACGGGGATGAGATGGGAGGGAGGAAAGCAAAACACTGCGTACTAAACCCAAACTCGCAGCCGATGATGAAACAAAAACCACCTTGAATAGGGTCAGTTTGTTATGTTTGCGCTACTTTTCAATTTTCAGTCCTACATTTTCGAAGAAATACCCAGTTGAAATGAAAATCTTCAATTAATTCGTGGAAAAAAATTATAGTTATTTTTATGTTTAACCTGAATTAGCAACAATATTTACCTCTTATACTTTAATTAACGTAATTTAATTCATTTACGAATATGTTCGAACCTAATTAAAAATAAGACCTAATTTCTCCTTTACGGTAAATTTTTAAGTCATTTTCACCTACTAGCGTTTAATTACTCAAAGATGATCACTAATTAGGTAAATAACAAGGATTTTTTTTCTCTGTAAATAAACACCAGAAAGCACCAAAATGAGAAACTGCCGAGATGAAAAATTTTAATGAAGTGATAATTACTTAATGAACTTGTTTACGTAGTTCTTGATTCTTTTGAAATTTTGTGCTTTTCATCTTTGACCCGTTAACAATTAATTTTGTGTTATTTCAAAAGGTTGATCCACTGTTTATGCTACTATGTGCTGTTGACGGGGTTTAGCCATTAATTATTTTGAACTTGAAAAGCCAATCTTCGTTATAATGATAACAATAAAAAATACCTTATCATATATATCTAATTTCAATTATTTAATATGCCTCTATTTTTGTTTAAATTTTTGTTCAATGATGAAATTGGAAAAGAAAAGATTGTACTGGAGTGCATATGGACTACTTATTCATTAATTTGTGTCAATTTAATGTAGAGATGTATCAATTTTAATGTAGCTTGGCCTGACTTAAAAATATCACCATATTATGTCTTTTTTCAATATGTCATCAACTGATATAAGCAAATCTGTCATTTAATGACTTTTTAAATATTTTTTATCTTCAAAGTTCAATGCTTATTTTATATACAAACTGTTTCCGTTTCATAATGTGTCATTATATTTACAAGTTTCGGCATTGAATGACAAGACAAAAGGGCCATCGCAAGGGCAACTTACGTCAGAACGAAACAAAGCGCGGCCAAAATTAGATCGGCACAATAGACGTGTCAGTCGCCCCATTTGATTGCGACGTCACTCGCGTTGTTTTGTCCAACTTCGGGACGCGTCACTCACTCTCGCCGCCGATCTCTGGCGCGAACGCAAAACTTTCCAACGCTGCGGACGGACGCGTTTTGAATGTCAACTACTATTGACATCTCATCGAGAGTGCCTCTCTCTCTCTTGAATGCTCCAAATTACAATGGCGTGATTGCGTCTCGGAGATGGAAATGAGGAGTGGCGTCGCGCCTCCCCGATACACGTTATTTAGCCCTGCTTTTTTCCACCCTTTTTCCTCGGCCGGGCATGACGTGAGACGGATAATGATCGCGTTTGCTTAAGCGTGTCAAGAGCACTTTCTCATTCGACTTGCAAATTCGAAAATGTGAGTGTGAAAAAAGAGCCCGGTAATGCTTGGCGCGACTGGTGATGATGTCGTTAGTGGAAAACTCTACGAGAATATTTCAACAGCTTTTGCACGTGGAGTTGAAATAAGATACACACATGAATATTGCATACATTATCTCTTTTTAAAATTTTTTATTTATTAAAATCAACAAGGAAATCTATATCAAACATTCACTTTTCCACTTAATTCAGTGAGCTAAAATATTTATTTTAAATTTTTTAATAATATTTACTTAAAAATAAGAAGCTCGCAATGGATTTCATGAAAATTCTGAACTGAAAAAATTAAAGGACAACTTATGCAATCTGACCTGCATTCTGCTCTGGTACTTGAAAAAATTTAGAATTCAGTTTTGTTGGTCTTTTATATTTTTCAATGAGGTTTATTTAAGAACTGATTAAATTTTTCTGTTGTGTTACGTGTTATTTCATATTTATATATTTATTTAAATTAATAAATAATTAGCTGACAAAGCAATTTATAAATAATGTAAGTTTTAAATCCTATGAGAATTCCTGACCAGATATTCAAATCAAATTTCTGTTAGCGGTCGTTTTTTTAATTCACCTGGGGTTTAAAAGTAAAATTGTATTGGCTAGGTTGATTTTCTAAATCATCAAAATTTATTGCAAATAAAAAAAGAAAAATCCTAATGTTCTCTACATGCGTTTAAAATGATATAAAAATTTCTTTTACTTAGAGAGTTGTTTTTATTTAACAAAAGTTTTTGGCCACCAACTCTGCAGCTTTGTTTCACATTTCACATGAAAGAAGATAAGAAAATTAATAGCTAAATAATGAAGTTAATCAAGAATATGTAATAAAATGAAATTTACTGTTTTGAAATTACAAAATAGTGGTCTTTATAATAAATAAAAATTGGGTTTTCGTGAATGATCGCCAATCTATAAAATGTATTTTGTTACATAAAAATCAATATTTTACATTACACACCACAAATTGGTCACTT